CCTCTGCCGGCGCGTTGGAATTGTGGCTTCGTTGCCTTCCGGTGTCGTGATGACGGCCTGGAGGTTTGACGAGCATTGTGTGAGCCAGCAGCAGAATGCAGATAGTGGTGTGTCTCTGTTCTAGTTGGTAGCATGTGACACACACACACACACACACACGTGCGCAAGTACACACGTACACACACACACACACACACACACACACACAAAAGCACGCGCGGTGTGTCGTCTCATGTTGCGCGGACCTGAAGGTTCTTCTCCAGCAGGCGGTCGATGCGTTTCTGGCGGACGTCACTCTCTTTCTCAAGCGACTTGATTTGCTGCGCGTACTGGGAATTGAGGAAACGCAAGTCTGCGTTCTCATGTTGCAGCTACGCATGAAGATGGCAGATCGAGTATCACGTGGCAGTGGAAGCATGATTGTCAGCAAGAAAGGGGTGAGAAGCATAAGACGTTAACGCGGCCATGCATGCACGAACGTGGATAACAGACGTGTGCACAGGCACATAGACACACAGACAGAGACAATAGACACACAGGCACACGGACGAACACATGCATGCAAGCACAACAAGGCACAGACACAGGCATAGACGCACACAGAGACAAGCAAGAGACAGGTACACATGCCCCCCGAAACACAGACAGACAGACAGGCAGACACACACAGAGACACAGAGACACAGAGACACACACACAGACACACAGAGACACACACACACACACACACACAGACACACGTGCGCGCGCACCTGTCTCATGTGTGCTTTGAGTGTCTTTGTCTGCGCATCTGCGACATCCTTGCGTCGGACAATTTCCATGTGGAGCTCGTTGACTTCTTTGACAAGCTTGGCGTTGTCTTCTTTGTATGGTGCAATCAGGTCAGGGGTGTGCTCGCCCTCCCCGCGGTCTTGGCGTGCCATCTGCTCCTTTGCTTGCTTGAGAGAAAGCGTGGTGTGCAGCAAGTCGCTGCATTGGAAGCAGAAGTTACCACAACGGAATGGATCAACACAAGGATAGAGAGATGCATGAGGGGAGAGGCAAACGTGGAATCGGTTGTGGAGAGAGTTGTGGAAGTGAAATGAGCTGTCAATGTGAAATAAGCTGTAGCGGTGTTGATGTGGAGCATTATGGAGGCTGCAAGCAGAAGGTGAAGCTTGCAAACAGTCAATGAAGGCTGCCGACCACAAACCCAAGCACGTGTACCACCACCCTGTCATTATCATTACATCGCCATCTTCACCTGAATAGCTTGTCCACGAGTGGGAGGGACTCGATGCCCAAAGGTTGGCGATAACCCAGCTGGTCCAGCCGTTGCCGTAGGGCCTTGAAACGCGCCTCAACAACGGCACCAGCATGGTCTCCCCCATCGTGGCGCCCCTGTTGCTGTGGTCTCATCCTGCAGCGTTGTGTGACCCTGGCTGCACAGACAGCCACAACAAATGATCACGCCTTCCCTTTTTCCACTTTGTGTTGCAGTGTGAGACGTGTGGCCTGTGAGACACCTCCCCCCTCAGGAAGGAGAAGTGTGCTGCTTTGCTCGCTAGCTTTGATGGGTCGGTGGTGTGCTGGTGGTTGAGGTGGTGTGCCGGCCGGTGGCTGGTGGTCGTTGTTGGTCGTTGGTTGTTGGTGGTTTGGATTTGAATTCGGCGGTTACAAAATTTGTGCTGTCGTGACCCGTGGCTCTCGATCGCAACCAGCCAGCAGCCAGCCAGCAGTGATGAGCTTCGTCAAGTGCGTCTTGTGTGTGTGTGTGTGTGCATGTGTGTGTGTGCATGTGTGTGTGTGTGTGCATGTGTGTGTGTGTGAGGCTCTCTCTGGCTCTATTTCTCTCTCTCTGTTTTCTTATTGCGTGTACTCTGTTGTCGCTGTGGGTACACACGCGCGACGCTGATCTCTCGTCAACCTCACTGTACCCCGCTCTTCCACTTGGCAATGTGTGCTTCAGGTTTAAGGACGTGATTGAGGACGGTGACACCGTCATCGTCAAATATGTGCGTGTGCTTGTGTGTGCTTGTGTGTGCTTGTGTGTGTGCTTGTGTGTGCTTGTGTGTGCTTGTGTGTGCTTGTGTGTGTGCTTGTGTGTGCTTGCGTGCTTGCGTGCTTGCGTGCTTGTGTGCTTGTGTGCTTGTGTGCTTGTGCGGTCCTCCTGGCCACCGATTGCTGTGCTGCTTTGCACGTTGCTGCGTGTTGCCTTGAGAATACATCACGGTTGATCGCCGCGGCCTCAACTCACTCGTCTCTGTTCATCTTCAACATGTTTCAGGCACAGCACTCATCATTTGTCGTTGTGGAAAAGGGCAAGGTGTGTGTATGTTCGCGCGTGTCATTGCAACGTATGTCACTGTCAATGGGGGGCTCGTTTCAGTAACAGCCGCGTCCCATAGTGGCTCATCACCCAATTTCACACCATCACACACACACACACACACCTCATGCCTCACATGCACACACACATGCACACACACATGCACACGCACATGCACACGCCCACGTCATG